ACCCAAACCTACAAGATTTTGGTGAGAAGCTTGTAAAGAGGTGCAAAAGATTACCATTAGCACTAAAAACACTTGGTGGCATCTTGCGGGGAAAGTTGCGTCGTGATGAGTGGGAAAATGTATTAAACAGTGACATATGGAGGTCATCTGAAGATAGAAGTGGAATTCTTCCTGCTCTGAGATTGAGCTACAATCATCTTCCTTCTCACTTGAAGCGATGCTTTGCTTATTGTGCTTTGTTCCCTAAAGACTATGAATTTGACAAAAAGGAGTTGGTCTGATTATGGATGGCTGAGGGCCTATTGCAGCAACAGTCACATGGAAAGAAGCAAATGGAAGAGGAGATTGGTCATCAATATTTTGATGAGTTGTTCGTAAGATCACTCTTTCAACAGTCAAGTAGAAATGAATTGCGGTTTGTGATGCATGACCTCATAAATGATTTAGTTGTAGATGTTGCTGGAAAAATATATTGCAATCTTGAACGTAACATGGGTGATGAAAAATTAGAGAAAGCTCGTCATTTGTCATTCACTCCACATATGTATGAAATCTCAGAGAGATTCAGAGTCTTGGATAAATTGAAGCATTTGAGAACATTCTTGCCATTAGAAGCACACAGGCTCTTGTATTTGTCTTATAAAATCTTGCATGATTTCCTACCAACTTTGACTTGCTTAAGAGTGTTGTCTCTTCGCGGCTATGAGATTAGCAAGCTACCAGATTCTTTTGAAAATTTGAAACATATGCGATACATTGATTTGTCTAGAACATCTATTGAACGTATACCTGAATCAGTGGGTTCTCTTCTCTTGTTACAAACACTATTATTATGTGGTTGTTCGAAGCTTAGTGAGTTGCCTATGACAATTGGGAATCTAATTGATCTCCATCATCTTGATATCACTTATACATCATCTTTAAAAAATATGCCATCAGGAATAGGCAATCTCAAAAATCTTGTAACATTGTCCAAATTTATTGTGGGGAAGGCAAGTGGAATGATGACAAGATTATCTGATTTGAAGAACTTGCCACAAATTCGAGGAAGACTGTCTATTCTAGATTTGCAGAATGTTTTGGATGTTCAAGATGCTAGAGAGGCCAACCTAGACAAGATCCATGGTTTGGAAGAGTTAGTCTTGGACTGGATTACTTTTGATTCTGATATGGAGTGGACTACTTCTGATAATGATCTGGATTCTAATTCTAATCTGGAGTGGACTACTTTTGATAATGATCTGGAGCGGAATCTAGAGCGGACTACTTCTGATCATGATCTAGAGTGGACTACTTTTGATAATGATCGAGATGAATTAGTCCTTAAAATGAAAGTCCTTAACTGGTTAAAACCTCATTCAAATTTGAAAAGTCTCAAAATTTCTTGCTATGATGGGGAGAATTTCCCTCTTTGGGTTTGTGATCCATCATTATTTTTCAATTTATCATCCATGAAGCTCCGTAGATGTAAGAGATGCACTTTGTTACCATCTCTTGGCCTACTACCTGTTCTCAAAAAATTGATTATTGAAGGCATGGATTCAATAAAAGCTATAGGTTCTGAGTTTTATGGGTAGCATGGCTCTTTTCCGTCACTGGCTGAATTGGTGTTTAGAAACATGCGAAAGTGGAAGGAATGGACTTCTCCAGCTGGAAGTGCAGGTGAATTCCCTTGTCTTCATAGGCTTGTGATTAAAAATTATCCTAAGTTGTTAGGACAATTACCCAGCAACCTTTCTTCACTTAAAGAGTTAGATGTTAGAAGCTGCAATGGAAAGCTTTTGAAGAGTATGGGAGATGCCCCCTCTCTTACTTATTTGAGAATTGAGCAAATTTCAGAACTGACTTGCTTGCCTATGAGCATGAGTCTTCCATCATTGAAAGAGTTGTTTATTAGAGACTGCAACGGGGTGCTTTTGAAGAGCATGGTTGATCTCACTTCCCTCACTGACTTAATAATAGCTGATATTGTAGAACTGACTTGCTTGCCTGAGAGTTTTACACAGTCTATGACAGCACTTGAGACTTTGCGTATTGTAGGTTGCAATGATCTTACTTGTTTGTGGGAGGAAGGGACAGAAATAGAACAAAGCCTCTTGCCTTTCAATCTTAAACATCTTAGGCTTTACTTCTGTGGAGCTTTAGAGTCATTACCCGATGCAATGATGATGAGGATGGATGGAAGCAGTAGCAGCAACACTAGTATGTTGATGTCAAGACTAAAAAGGTTGCAAATTGGTTATTGTGATTCTCTCAAGTCTTTTCCAAGAGGCAAATTACCCACCTCGCTTAAATACTTGAGAATAGAAAATTGTAAAGGTCTTGAGTCTCTACCGGATGTTGATGGTGACTATAATAATAGCGATCTACATTTGGAAATATGTAAACTTCCGTGTTTTTATTCTTCTCAAGGTAGTTGTTATCAGCTACCAGCTTTTCTCAAGGAATTTAAAGTTGCTGCTGGTGGCGAGTGGTTGGAATCATTTCCAGACGGAATGTTGCAGAATTGTATGGGACTCCAATCCATTAAAATTGACGACTGTGAAATATTGAAAAGTTTACCCAATCTTGATTACGTCAGCAATCTGGCTAAATTATCTATTTGCTACTGTAATGTTTTAGAGTCCATACCCAATCTTGATTACGTCAGCAATCTGAAGCAGTTGATGATAAAAAAGTGTAAGAATTTCAAATCCCTCCCAAATATGATGTACCAGCTGAAATCTCTTCAAATCCTATGGATGATAGACTGCCCTAGCATCGAGTTCATTCCAGATGTGGGTTTGCCACCAAACTTAACAAAGCTTTCCTTAGGGTGTGAGAATCTCAAGTGTGTGCCGAATACAATGTACCAGCTCACATTGCTTCAGAATCTATCACTTTCATGTCAGGTTTTGACGATGGACCTCCAAAACCTTAAGTCTCTTCAATGGTTGGGAATTAAGCAGAAATTTCCTCTGGATATTGTGCTGCCTTCTTCTTTAACCTCTCTTTGGATCGAGGACGAAGAAAATTTGGAATCCATACCTGGGCGGCTATTCCAAAACCCAAGCTCCCTTCAATTGTTAACTATAAGTAACTGCCCGAAGCTACGATCTTTGCCAAAGGAAGCCTTCCCTCCCTCACTTGAAAAACTATTCATCCAGAAGTGTCCGCATCTAGAACGACAGCACTTTGAAGCTAAAGGAGACTATTGGACTCTCACCTACGACATCCCCTGCATTAGTGTATATGAGGAAAAGGTAATGAGATCTTAGTGTGAACTGAAACAGGCATCACAATTTTATGCTTTTCATATGAGAATTCAGAAAAATCTTTAATAGATACACTTTTTTTAGACTTCTTTTGCCTTTTCTCCTATTTTCCTTTTCTATTTTTGGTAGTTCTATTTTAAGTAATTCGGTTTAAATTTTGGAGTTCTGAACTGGAGATGGAAAGATCTGCTTTATATTCTGTTTTCTTATGGATTAGCTTTACATCCCTTTGAAATGTTAAATGGCAGGTAACCAGTTTCTTAAACTGGTTAGGTCGGTGAATTTAATTTGTATTAAGAAGGAAAGAGGAAGTGGATTCAGATTTTAGGTCCTGTGAAGCCTTCATCTTCCAAATTGGAAGCTTATATGCTGTTATTAAATTTCGGGTCCTCTAAGCACAGTTTCACAGTCACGATTTTCACACGAAAGGCCTGCTAAAGTTCATGTGCCCAATGGCAACTGGTGCACTCTAAAAACATCGCACGTCTCTGGCTTGGTGGCCGGTGGGAAGCCAAATTCTTCTCTGATATCAGTGGTGAGTTTATTATATCTACTCTAGTTTAAATTTAAGCATTCTTTCCAATTCTTTTGTTTTTTTTTTTTTGGGAGAAATGTAATGATTAACTGTAATTGAAGTGTGACACTGTGCTGCGGATAAACCTCTGTCACATTGGTTTTTGTTGTATTCAGTTCAAACTTACCATTATAGTGGCTATGGAATACAAAAATGGTCTAAGTATTCCTCTAGGCTTTGTGCTTGGATTTCATGTAGCACGTTAAATACTAAATAATACATTATTGCTTGACCCATTTTCCTTGCTTTGACAAGCTAAAAGTTGTTCATTATGATAACCATAGTTTCCTCCGATGATGCTGCACTAGGTTCCTTGGAGAAGAAAACATCACAGAACGTGACTTTTCCAAGTCGCTTTGAGGTCAGTCTAAGTTCATGAGCCTTACATTCCTTCCTATCTTTGAGAGTGATTCACTAATTTTTTTGTCAATACTAAAGAAATAATTCATGATGATGCTTGTTATGCATGCTCTTTTGTTAATGGTTTGTGATCATAGTAAACACATTTCTAGTTTTTTTTTTTTTTTTTTTGAACTCCAAACACATTTCTAGTTTAATTTTCTTTGCGGAGTGATTGTTACCTTGGGAAGTTCAAGAAGAATTCTGAGATGAATCAAGATGCATGTAAAAAAAAGCTTGAATATAGTTTGCTCAAGGCAGTGGTGTTCGTTTATGGACTTTGACCACTACACGTGTGAACTTTAGTGCAAAATTAAACTTTTTTGTCATTAGATCAACAGCTGAATATCTACCAACTTAATGTGTTCACCACTTAATTCACTTTCCTGAAGGTGGTCTTTTCTGAACTTCATTAGGCTGTTGTTTAGTTTCTATTATGTTTGTGATTATCTCTTGATGAATATTGATTGAAATTTATCATGGTGTTCATTTGATATATTGGACTGAAAATGTTGGCTTTACTTTGATTCTAGTTGATGCTTAATTTGCTTATTTCTTATTTTCAAATTTATCAGGAATTGATGCTAGAGGTTTGTGACGAGACAGATATATTGCTGAGCTGAAAATGAAGGTTGATTCTTTTACCCTTGTTATTGACTGATTTGCTTGACCTTTTGGAAGACATAATTTCTTCATAGTTTACTTAGAAATTCCTTAAATTTTAAATATCAAAATTTATTTATTTATCATGAGTGATAAAAGTTTAAATACCAATTAGATTTTTAGGTGTAAAGCCTTGCAAGTGGCCAACTTTGGGTTCTTATCATTTTGTATGTAGTGCCGTTTGATATGGTGCTTTAGCTTGTTTGCTATTTGTTATTTCATGACAGATTGGAGACTGAGATGCATCTGAAACGGAATGTTGGGGCAACAAAAGCACCTTTGTCCAATATTCCCCCACGACAGCACCACCTATTCCAGCTAAACCTATGAATGAGTCAGCTCCTATAGTAGCTGCTGTTGCCCCATGACTTCCCCCACCACCAAAATCCTCTCCAGAGAAAGCCACTCCATTTACAAATGTCTCCTTTGGGAAGTCATCAGAGTTAGTAGCTACGTCCTAGTATCTTCTCCAATGGTATGTGATGCTCATAGAGTGTAAGGATCCATTTTTCTAAAATTGCAAATCCTTTTTGTGCAGATTGACTGGTAGAGCGAGCTAGCTACAACCAATTGTTGATGAGGTAAATAAAGCCAAGCCACTCCTCAATGTTACTAGTACTTCATTCATTTCTTGGATTCATCAGCTGTATATACTATTTATCATTCACCTGAAAATTAGTTTCCTTTGAGAACATGCATGCATTCACTTGCCTCAAAAATGGCTTATGCTTTCAGATTATTTCAAAGGGGATGAGTGGTTGGCCCTAGCATCGCGGGAATTCACAACCACCAATGAGCTTGCAAAATGATGTTCTTAGGCAAGCCAACCAATTTGAATTTTAAATTCAATATTGCAGGACCTCATGTTCTTCATTCTGAAGAATTGGGAAGATTTTTGAAACAAGTAGGTGCTGATGTTCAAATGAGATTTTTCTGTAGGCTGGAATTGGAACCCAGATGACCTTTTCCAAATTAAACAAGCTTGTAAGCTGGAACTGAAACACAGATGGCCTTTGCTGAATTATATAAGCTTGTAATTTGACTAAATCAAGCTGCAGTTTTACAAGTTTTTTATTTGGGAAAGCAAAACTTACCCTGTAAGTATCCAAATTACCTCTTTAAAATTTTATTGTGAAGCCTATTTGCTTTGCTATTGTTATTGTTTAGGACAAGGAATCAAAATTCATATATTAGGCTATCTCTACAATTGATTTTACTTGAGCAAAATTATACATTTTGATGATATACTAGTATATTTCTCTGCTATTTGTAACGTTAGTTGCCTTGGAATTAAATGATTATTTCCCATTGCTCCCTTCTCTTAATTAATAGATATTGGTTGCATTAAAGATTGACTAATTTCTGTCATTTATTTTGCAATTTTTTCAATTTTTTTTCCAGATTATATAGACTTTTACATCTTTGTGTTATTAATTTTACTTTGATTTCATTTCTGCAGTTCACTTATCCCTCTTTTCTTTTTTATGTTACAATTGATGCTTTCTGTATGCTCTAAATTCAATTTATATTGATAAAGCCACAACCACGAATGAGCTTGCAAGTTGCAAAATGAGGTTCTAAGGCAAGCCAGCCCATTCAAATTTTGAATTCATTACCGCAGAACCTCATGTTTTCCATTTTGAAGAATTGGGGAAAGTTTTGGAACAAGAATTGAATTTTGATTGAGAAGGATATTCTCAATGGTACCCTCCTTTCCTACCATGTTTTTTGGTGTTTTCCCATCTAGACTGGCCTCTGTACAAATTAGATTTTTGCACTAGCTGGAACTGGAAAATGGATATCACCATTGCTGAATTAAACAATCTTGTAATCTGACCATGTTAAGCTACATATTCTGTGAGTAACCAAATAACCTATCTAAACTTTTATATGCTACCCATTTCTCTTGGTTGTGTTAATTTTTAGGATAAGCAAAAAGTGATATATTTTGAAGAATTATGTCATGATATCTCTATTCATCATCTGCAAAGTGATACATTTTGATGATATAATTGACTTTGGTTTTGTCTTATATTTGTGTTACCGACTATTTGTATATATGTATATTTTTTATCTTAATTTTGATTCGGTGCATGGAAATTAGGTAGACATCAAGAAGTTAGTCCAACTTAGTGTCCAGATGTTCCCTTATTTGGCCCTCCCCTCATATTGTTCTTATTTATCATCACATTTCCCATAATTTTAGTGTCTGCTTCCTTGAAACTGTGTAACACCCAACTTATAATTAGTTCTTGTCCTGTTTTTGTCTTACAGCATCTGATTAAACCCTTTGCTGTTTTCAAGTCAACTACAGGATAGTTAATAGGTGATTGATCCAAGATTCGAAGTTCAAGCCGCCCTTTTTAGGCAAGTTCTTTTTTCAAAAGTAGGAGCTGGATGCTTTGATATTAACGCTACCTTTCATGCAAGTGGTGAAGCTTCTGGAATGTATGATGAGTCAGAAATGAATGATCCAACAATGTGCATTGTGTTCCCTCTTTATTCATCTCAAGTCACAACCAAGATTACGGCACAAACACAGTTGCTTTAACTGATGCTTAAAATGGATTGACTAGCAAAGCAGCTTCAAGATCTAACAACTTGATGAAAAATGGTGGTGCTCACAGGATCCGTCATAGACTCATAGTTGTAGCTACGAGCTGCTACCCTCCAAAGAATGCCCTCTTTGGTAAGGCAAGTTTCGTCTTCTCATCTCTCAATTGGTCAGAGAGATTCTCTATCATTTCATCAAGATAATGCTAAGCTTTAATTCACTTTTGCAGGACATGGATTTTTTGAGTTTTTGTTGTAACTTCCCCTGATCAATTCCCTTGATCAAGGACAATTCGAGGATATATATGAAAGTGGATGGCATAATGCTTCGAGGCAGCATTATGCAAAAATCATTTCAAGGTGCATTGTCACATTTTAATCCTTTAATATGTGCAAAATTTGATTGTTAAAATCCAAGTTATTAGTTGTAGGTGAACTTATTGTTAGACTAATTTATGCCATACTCAAATTATGTTAACTAACCATTTCTACTTCTTATTTCTTTAGGATTTCTTTGTTGTATATATCCATACATCTAGCATTGAGAAAAGTCTTCATGAACTCGTACATGAAAAATGGGGCTTGGACTTTGAAATATATCAAGTCAGGGGAGCTTTAAACAATGGCTAGTGGCTGGTTTTGATCATGATTGCAAAAACAGTAGAAAGACAGTGAGAGTGAGTTGCAACAGCGGCAAGGTCAGTAGAGGAGTTAGTTCTGGCAGATGATCAACAGTGATTTGGTCTCCAGTTTCTCTTGGAACATACTCAGCACACTTGGTGAGATTTATCCCAATTTGATGGGAGATTTTGACTTCCAGCTTTATTATGGTGATGACTATGACATTAGTGATCCAAGAATTTATTCTTGATGATTTATTGTTGTGTACAACTTCTGGTGTTTCCTAAAGTAGAAAAAACTTTGTTGTTAAGTTTGATTATTTTCCGCTTAAGTGGGTAGAGGGAGAAGAAGAATACTTGTTGAGTGTGGTATTTGGTAACCCTCTTTGGAACAGTGTATTCTACACAGATTTTTTTTTTTATCCATGCATCCCCAAAGCTTGAAAAGCTCATTGTTATCTTTCTATTCCCTATTCAAGTTCAAGTGATTAGCTGTTGTATACCATGAAGTCATCAACAGTACTGCACATCACCTACAAAAAGTTAGCACAAGAAAATCAATAGAGAGGCTCAATGTTAGTAACAGTTTTGATTATAAGCTACATACCTTATAATCAATCCCTAGTGAATATTTAAATGAAGATTAACAGCAAGTGTTTAGATTTGAAAATATATATATTTTTTGTCCTAAGGAAAATATGTAAAATGAAACATTTAGATGATAAGTTAAACCTTGGATCAGGTTAAAACCTATGCACTATGCAATTCATGTATATTGTTTCTTGCAGCTCTCCATTTCCAAATGAAGTTCAAGACTTTCATTTCCTTTCAATCTCTTCATCTGAAAAAATGCATTCAATTGCCTCCAAAATGGTTTATGATTTCATTAACCTTTTCAGGTTGTTTTGTTGGAAAGGGATTGCAGAGTTCAACTTTACATTAGAAATATCTATATTGATGAAAGCTCCACGTGAGCTTTCGAAATGATGTTCTTAGGCAAAGCCAACCTCGTAAACTCATATTGTTTTGAGCCAACAATTTTAGACTATTTGATCAGGTATATATGATGGACCACAGTTGATCTTTAGAGGCTCATTTTCAGATAATTAAATGTAAATTGACCTTCTTCCTAGCTCTTCATTTTAAGAATGAAATTGTCCTTGGGTATATGGGTAAGAAACTAACAATATTAATGGACAAGTTATCTTCTATCTCTAGTTTTTTTTATTTTTTTAATCCTTAAATCTCAATTATCAAAGGTCTCTCCACATAAAGGAAGAGCTTTTGACCATGGAAAATCTTTAGATTTATAGTTTTGACATAAACACATCTGGATCAATCACTCCTTCCTTTGAAAATTACAGGGCATTGGTGTTTCTCTCCTAACATTTCTTGCCATATCAAGGACAGTTTAAGAATACATATCAAGGTGGATGCAGTAATGCTTTGAGGTAGCATTATGTGTAAATTATTCCAAGGTGCAAGATTGTCACATTTAATCCTTTAATACGGACAAAAGTTGTAGATAGACTATTTCTGTCATACCAGACTAATTCATGGGTTTACACTCGTGAGTTCATTTGATAATTAATTGGACCATTTTTCTTTGTTCAATAAGCACAGTAATTATAACTACCATTTTCAATTTCTTTTTTCAGTATCCATCTGTTGTGTCATTCCAAAAATAATAGAGAAATTTGTGAGGGTGAGTTACGACAGTAGCAAGAATGTGTGGTTCAGCTGGATCAACTGATCTTTGGTCTTGGTTTACCACCTTCGATGAGAAAAGAAAGGCCGATTCATCAACAATTATTTCAGCCAACAATGATGCTTGTTCGGGCAACTTGAGGAAAAGTTAAAAGTTTGTAGAAATAATGCTTTGTTTCTTGGTCTTCCACCACATTGGATGTTTATGATGTTTTCAGCGCTAATAAATGTTGAGCTTTCCCCTTTTCCTTCTTTATGTATGGAAAATATATCTTAAAATCACGTGAAATTTTACTCTGAACATTAGTGATTATTTGAGCACTCAGCGTTTTTTTTTTTTTTTTTTTTGAGCAGTGCTAATGGTAAGCGCCCTTCACCACTCCCTGCGTCACTCTCCTCACCGCGTGTCCATGTAGCACCAATATTTGATCCCTAAACCGGAAACTGCTTTCATCATGTACTTTAAATTTTAACACATATCCACATTAAAAAAAAAAAAAACAAAGAATACAAACAACAATTAACGATTCTCTCTCATCTCCTTCTCTCTTGCGCTTTACCCATCGCATGGTTCCTTTCCTTCTTCACCTCACTTTCACAATCCTACCCAACATTACAGAGGCAATCAACGATAAAAGATGATGGGAAAGATCAAAGGCGGGGTCAAGTTCTCTGAATTTTGATTTTTTTTTTATTAAAGAAATCTTGTATTTTCCCTTCTCCTCCACGAATTGCACCCTCTTTTTTCAACTCCTAAAACACCCAGAACTTCTTCTGAGATGAAGAGAAAAAGATGGAATCCCTAAACCCTAACATCTTTTAAATTGCTAGCTTTCTCATCTTTTTAATTTCCTGATTCTACACCAAGACACCTTGAATTGAAACGGAATTTACCTTTAATTTTCCCCAAATTCCTTTCGATTTTTGCAGAATTTCGCCTTCCAGCCACAATTGAGTCCTCAATAGGTCATTTCCCTTCAACCATGTCTTTCTTCCATAGAGTTTTATCATCTTTCAACGCATACATATGTTTTTCTGATGCATGAAATAGACAAGGACTAAAAAAAGTTGGAATCCGTTCTTGATCTCAAAGGAAGGGATGGGGACTGGGGGAGGGGACCAGATTCGATTTTAGGATGTTCTTTTGAAATTTTAAAATTATAAAGGGAAAAAGTTCGTAAGCCACTGGATGAAACCAGTTTGTGGTGTAGGGATCTAATACTAGTGCTACGTGGCAACACGATGGGGAGAGTGACGGAGCGAGTGGTGAAGGGCGACTGTACTTAGTGCTGTTCTTCTCGAGCGCCACATCATCAGTTAATGCCACGTCATATCTTACGTGACTATTTTGTTAGAGTTATGAGTTGATTTTGATAAAGTTGGATGACTACCTAACTAGATTCACCCATTAATGAACCATGAACATTTCTGGGAAAATCGAGTTTATACATAATGGAATAAGAAAGTTTTTAATCTAAAACAAGGGAAAAAATAAAAATAAAAAAGCCAATTCTAATATTTCGTTGTCATAAAGGTTTGAAGTCTTATCATCAATCTTAACAATAAGATTTTTAATATTCTAAAATCATAAATTTTCTAAAATGTTTGGAACAAATTGTTATCTTTACCAAAATTTAAAAAGATGTAATTTTTCCTAATTAACATGCATGTTGCACATAATTCTGGTTTCAACTAATTCGAACTTAGTGTTTCTTTAAAAAATTTACATCTTCTTTAATTTTAATGTAAATGATAATTTGATCCAAACTTCAACTATTTTAAAAAATTTATGATTCTATAACATTAAAAATCTTGCTATTAAGATTGATAATAAAAATTTAAATTCGTATAACTGACTAAGTAATACTAATAATTTAGTTGATAAAAAAACCATCTTTCAAAGATGAAGTTTACATTCACTTATTTTTCCATCGTTATCAGTAATTAAATTCTTAATAATTATTATTTTTTAAATGGAATGGTAAGGAAGCTCCTCAATTTCTCGAACTATCAACACAAAGTAGGCCTTAAATGGCAATCGGTCATGTGCCACGAATAAACAGTAAATCTTTGTTTTTCTTATTCGCACATCTGATGAGTTCTTTCTTTTTTTTTTTTTCTTTTTTTTAACGAGATTACATGCTGACAGTTTTAGAAAAGGAAAGGATTTAAACTCAAGTCCAATAAAAAATCTAAT